AGTCCAATACAGCAGTGGGCAAATGCCACCCAACAGCAGTGCTGGAAGCAGAGGTTGCAGGAGTAGCTCTCCCAACACCAGAAGCTGGTGGGTACAAAGCAACCAGCATTTCCAGCTCTTGGACCAGGTCCCTGTGCTGCTCCCATCAGCAACTAACAGGGATCTCTGAGAAAAGAGGGGGGCAGTGAAAAAAAAAAAGCTTCAGAAACATGAGGTTTCTGGGAGGCACAGGGGAAAATGCAATTCCAAGGCAGGAAGGCAAATGCGAGAGCTTTAAACAGGCTGTGTTCATATATGCATCAGCCCTACAAAGCCACACTGAAAGATAAGAGGGATTATTTTTATTTTTTAAACTGGATTCTGAACAAGTTGTGCTTTTAAAGGACAACAAAACATTAGTGTTATACCCAAAATCCAACCCTGCAAACCCACGTTTCGTTGACCAGTCATGACCACCTCCAAAGCTTTCAGAGAAATCCAGTCCCAAGGTTGGATGTGCATCTTATTAGCTCCAGTTTCACCATCTTCCCAGGGTCTTAACAAGGAAGTGGTTTATTAGATGCTCAGGTTAACACCTGTGGGGTTAGACCGTTCAGAAAGCAGTGGGATTTCATCACTAACACTGCTGCTTTCACTCACAACATCTCAGGGGCTTTCACAAGAGAAGCGGGAGGAAGAGAAGAGATTGTGCAGGTACCATGAGTGCACCACTATTGCACTAAATCAGAGCAGCTGATGAAGAGACCTCATGAGGAGACCTCCATTTAAATGTTCTAGGTGACATTGAAGAGCAGAATAAAAAAAATCACAGGGATCTTGCAATTTCAGTCACCTGGGATCCAAAGCTGCCAATTTTGGGTTCATTCCCAGGTGACAATGGCTCTTCCTACTGTATGTAACCAAACCAGGCACCGATCCTTGCCTATTCTTGGCAAATTTCTGGAGGAAAAGATAGATTTGTCAACATGGGATGCTTCCAAGCGAAACTGGGGAGACAAGAAGAGATCTCAGTTCATTTTTTCTGCCTCAACTTGTATCTCAGAAGGGTTAGTGGTTGGGAAGTACAGTATCAGCCATGTCTGCCACTAAGCAGAGAAGCCAAAGCCCGTTGCAAATAATGATAGTATTTGATCCTATTTGACAGGGAATGAAATAAGATAAATAAAATAAAGATCCCAAGATTTTTCAATACACAGTAGCTGCCAAAAAAAAAAGGCATCCAATAGAAGTGGCTTCTTCTGTTTGTTGGATAGATAAAAAAGTTATCATTACAATTCTTTTCTGCTGAAAATCCCTTTCCAGCTCCCACCTAGGATGATTTCCCAGGTGCGATATTTGCTGTGTACAAACAACAGTTTTAGAAGCAATAAAAAAACCTGAACAAAACCAGTTGATAGATTTAACTTCATGTTTATACAATGCAACCCATCAACATCTCCCATGTGGATACCGATCCTGCAACATCTCTGGGTGGATTTTAAAAGATACTGCAGCTTGTCCTGGACTCGACCCCAAGAGCAAGAGCTATTCTGGTGTTGTAATACCCAGCAGCAGTTCGTTTCAGGTGAAGCACACAAGCTGTGCACAGAGCATTGTGTTTATACACTGCAATTAGCAGCACCGCTCTCTGTTTTTAATTGGTGGCAATCCATCAGCAGGATCATGGTATCTGGGAGCTACCTTGGAAGCTGCCATCTGAACTTCAGACCTGTAAAAGCACGTGGCGACTACAAGCCAAAGCCTATTTACCCACATTTTCTGTGTTCAGGGCAATAGAGCCCTGTTAAGATGATGCGCTGACTTCATAAGAACTTCCTTGGTTGAATATCTGATGAACAAGCTGTAGTTAGATCATAAATTTCTTCCTCACACCAGCTACAGAGATTATAATGGTCTGAATCTCAGCAAGACCATTTCTTCTCTTCTATATGCCTTTCATTAAAAAAAAAAAATAAAAATTTAAAAATGTGAAAGAGGAACTTGCCATTAAAGCTGAAGGTGCGCAATAGAAAAAAGGAATTTTGCAGCTGTTCAAAATTTAAAAAGGAGACCAAGTGTGCGGGTTGGGTGCCTTCAGCCCCCTTCTTCCATTCGCAAAAGGTCAGAGGAAAACAAGACATAATTACAATTCTAGCAAGTAGTCTCCCAAAAAACTTAGAACTCAAGCTTACAATTAAAATTCTCATTTTCATGTAAATTTTTAATGTGTAGTAGAAAGCTTGATCTGCATACATTTAGGGGAAAAGGAGAGGAATCATTAAAACTCTGGCTGTTGAGCCGCAGTACAATTCAGAAAACAAATATTCAGTCACCAGCAGAATATTTCAAGGATGCAAGGCTGGGTCGTAACCCAAATTTAGGTGAAGGTCTTTTATTCTAAAAAGTTTGATCTTTTAAAAAGGAAAGCAGATAGCCATGCTGTAGCCTACTCTAAGAAAAGTTGCTCTTTGAATATGTGCCTTACTTTCTGACAATTAAAAAGTCTAAACATAGTACGTACATACCCTATTCCTTCCTTCCCAGGTAAGTCTTGCAAAAATCTAGAGCTAAGACCTCTCAAGTACACCATACGCTTTTTTATATGGGCCATGCCCAGGAAAACATGTGTTATACTACAATTGCCTCTACTCTAGGCTTGCAGCGGCTGAGTTACTACTGGGTTGGATACAGAGCAATACAATAGGTATTGTCATCAGTATGTCACTGCCTTTGCGTAAAGCAAATAGGCACCTAGGATATGGTATGGTATTTTCCTGGTTAATCCTTCACAGATACACCTAGATACTCTGGCTGGATATACATCAGCTGTAGACAATTAGCATGTGAAAAACTTCCTATCCCCATCCCATACTTCGGGATCTTGGCAAGTTTTGCCACACATCCCAGAAGTCCTCTCACGCTGACTAGCGATCGCTAAGCCGCAATACTGAGAGTACCCTGTGTGTTGGGCTCAGTCCGTCCCTGCTTCAGAGCTTCACTCAGCTGCAGAGATTGGAGTTTGCGGTACAAGTGGTCCTGAATTTGAGTGACGAAACACTCTCGCACCCAACGCAGAGAGGTGGAGGGATGCTAACGCTGGTTTGCAGCCCAGAGAAGTTACCCGCTTGCTCAAACAGCCAAGGACTACTTCGCAACTTAAAAAATAAAAGGTTTCTCACTGATCTCTTACACGTATCCCGGAGTTCACACCCATTCTCTGCAGTATTCAAGCACATGCCAATAGACCTGTGCAACAGAGGACAATCAGCCTTCATTTGCACTTTTTTCCTCCCAGATACAGTCCTACAATCTCGCACTCCAGCAGTAACACCTGCAAGGCACTTTACTGACAGCGAGACGGGAGCAGATTCTTCATACCTTGGGTTTGCATAGCCTGTAGCTAATTTTAGACTTTCTTCTCTTGCTCCTGCAAGAGCTAAGTTTTCTCCATTTCATCATTCAGAGTGGAAGTTGAGGCCTCACATAGACCTTAACACCAACTTAGAGACTGGACATATTTGTAAGCCTAGCACAGGTACTTTAAACACAACAAATTATTTTCTAGCACTAGAAAAACAATTGAAATTCCAAGTCAAATTGGACAGCTACACTGATATTTTTTGGTAAAATAAATCAGTGCAAGCAAAGCTAGTTTTCACTGAAAAAAAATTAAACCAATGACAATTTTTCTATGGATTTTTAGCTAGAAGCATAATGTTCTGGTTCATAAGGCATACGGAATAAAGCATTTTGAGTATTTAAGTTAGCATATACACGCATGCCACGACATTACGTCCCACTGTTTTCCTAACAAAGTCATAAAAACCCAACTACACCCTCTGCTACGGATGTGCCCGGCTATTTGCTCAAAGGAAACTTCTGCTGGCTGAGAAGTGGTCACTCAGACTAAGCTGGCCAGACTGCAAGTGGAGGAAAAACAGCACAAACATTTCTACTTTGCAAAAGGAAATTTGTTTTACACTGCACAAACGCAAGCCGTCACTTTTCAATTCACATGGGAGCTCCAGCCAAGCTCCACCACCAACAATCGATGCAATTCAGAACCAGGAGCATTTTTGGCACAAGATCTACCGCGTAGAAGTGTTTTCTCCTTAACAGCCTCTTTTCCAGAGGAAAAGCATTCCACCACCCAGATCATCCCTGGTTATAGACTTGAAAACAAAACAGAGCAGCTAACTGTCACCAGAGCAAAACTAAGCCCTCAAAAAGCAGAGAAAGAACCTCCTGGGATCATTGCCAGGAGAAACGAGATTGAAGTTTTTTTTCACACTTTTTTTATTTCTTTAAGTAGTAAGCACACTAAAAAACAACCCCAGACAACATGAGCACTCAGAAGAACAGTAATACACAACCACCATTACCCAGAAGATGCAATAGGGCAGCTTTGACAGCAGGTTTTTTTTCCCCCACATCTTCCTATAAATACATCGGGTCTCACGAGACCCCATCTCACAGCCCCAAACAACAGGGAAAGCACAAGTTCCACTGGCTGGATTCCCTCTGCCAGAGCTCTTAAAAACAGCATTTATCCAGAAAGAGGGAAAAGTCACCTCTAACAGCTCCCCTGTTTATCCCCAGCTAGTTCTCACCTCCTGCTGTCTTTTCCCTACTACAAACTTATCTTCACATGCACAGAAGCTAGAGACTATGCAGAAGTGGAGGTCCTACATATTCAGCCAAAGAAACTGCAAGCACACTGGTAAACCACAGAACAAGGAGCAAAGCAGAAGTGTCCCCCAGTTCCAAAAAGAAAATATGGATAGATTTGGCCAAACCACACCACTCAATGCCTTTAAGCACCACGACCAGCTAACCATGCCCATCTGCTACGTCAACCACATGGTGAGGACTTCTCAGACCTTCGAGCCATGGGGCCAGTGATTTCCATGGTCTATCCAAGGCAACAACAACAAAAAATAATCAAATATCCATCACTTTCAACCAAGACCCACACCCATCCCAAAGTCACCGGGAAAAAAACGATGCAGTCAACTACCCACCTTGGTGGTGTCATCATGTGACCGCTGGTACCGTTTCCAGCGGCAGGCGGAGATCCCGTCCCTTTCCCGGCCCCAGCCGTAGATCCCCGTCAGACAGGACAAACATAGCTGCGGCTCGTAGTACTGCAGCGGTTGGTGTTTAACCATGCTCCTTCCAGCCCCTCAGGAGCGAGGTATCAGAAATCCATCAGGTTCTGGAAGTGCCCTTCAGCAAGGGGAGGAAAGAAAAGAAGAAGGGGGGGAATGGAAATTAAAAATGCCAAGCAATATTTCAATAACATTAACAAGTTATTTAATAATTAACCATGTCCTCTGGCTATTAAGAGAGTAGGAATTATAATCAGATCTATTCCCAGCCCTGCCAACATTTCTCAACAAGACCGAGAAGTTTAATTAGTTTGCAAGTTTTGTTTCCTTGTGTAGTTTCTCCCACACCAACTAAAAGCAAACGTATTCATAGGAGTTATCAGTAAGAAAAGCCACATAAGGACAAGAGCAGTAGACAGATTATTTGGAGCCCAAATGATTAGATTTTTATGAATGATTGAAATGTAAAGAACCATACCCTCCGCAAGCACAACCTTAAAATTGATTCAGAGACCTCTGCAAAGTTGAAACCCAGCCAAGCTAAATCAGTTTATCTTCAGCATCCTACAGAGCCTGCAAAACAGTCCCAGACGAGGAACTAACACTTCTGTGCACACTGGAAAAGGCAGATATTACCCTCTCCCTTTACATGCATCTCCAATGAGCACTCACAGGGATGCAGGGTTGGTTGCAGCCTTCACCCAGAAGAAAAGAGTCCTCTCACCACCAAACACCGTTCGCTCCCAAAGGACCAGACTGACTCCAATTCAACTGCCATGCGTGGGAACATCACGTTTCAAGGGAAAGTACTCTGCTCCATCGATTACACGTTTTGTGCGTCATAGGGCTTTTTTTTTCCTCCTTTTATATATATATATTTAGATGCTCGCTTTTGTCTCTGGTGAGATTAGTATCAAGAACAGACTAAGCAATCGTACACTCTTACTAATTCATCGAGTCACTGTTCGCGGATAGAAACCTCAAAGCAAATATTTGCCAGTCTGGTGGCGTCATGCTGCCCTCAGCTGTGCTTAACTCCCACCAGGGGTTTTCCACAGGTTCCTGGTGCACAAGTGTACACCCACAGCCCCACATATTGCTGTTCCATGGATAGTCAGTGTGCTATGAGTGATGTTCAACAGCAGTTGAGCTTGCAAAGTGCTTGGTTACCTTTCCAGAGCGTGCACAGTTGCGTGCATGACACGTGGGCAGTAAGGAAATCGCACCCGCTCTAGGGTAAATGCTTCATTTCCTTATCTGCAGGATCCCCGGTGCTCAGGGCTTGCAAAAAGCTATGACAACTACGAGTAGCAACATCCTCACTAGCATCAGCTAAGCATGGCAGGGCTTAAGGAGATAACCTAGCCACCTAAGAGCCTTTCATTGCCACGTCCCATGGAAGGAAGACCCCAAGAATGGGACTGTCCGTATTTTTTCACTATAGCCAATGCATAAGGGGACGGTGCAGGTGTTGCAGACGCTGTGGCAGAGTCTAGAAATGTCAGTGAGGACACAAACAGCTCAACCCTTCCAGCTTCTATCCTTCTTTGTGTCCATTTACTCTCTGTGCTCTAGGCTGTCAGCATGAGACAGCCCTGTCCTGACTTCCTCTAATCAGGACTCAGCATCCAGGAGGCAGACAGACCTTGCTAGGCGGTTGCTGTGGTTTCAAAACCCACCAGACCATTACCATGCATGTCCCTAGAGCCCACAACCCATAGGTCCTCTACCTTCCTCTTATACAGACACAAAAAACGTAGCTTTGCCCTTTCAGCAAACCTCTCTATAACGCTCTGGGCGCTGCTCGAGGCCTTGACCCAGGCAGAGGACACGAGATGTGCAGGACTTGCATATCAGTTCGTAGCAGGCCTGGATCCCCACGTGGTTTGGTTCGTCCCCTCAGGGAGGACATGCAGGACGGGCACAAACACATCCAGTCTGAAACAAGAGCTGTCTGCTGATCATGTCACCCCGTGCTCTCCCAGCTCATCTGCCCCTAAGCGCTGCTGTACCACCTCCATGGCCTCATGCTTGAGGTCACCTCCCTGCCTGCGTTTCTTCTCTTCTCACGCTATTTATAAAGCTCAGCATTAGTCACAGCACAAGTTGCCTCCTAGCTTCAGCTTTTGTCTGCTTCAAGATTGTCCCTAGAAAATGAGTTCCCTGGTCTGCCTTCCCCGTGCGCCAGCAGCACACTGCAGGCAGAAACGACTGTCAGTTAGAATAGGACAGAAGCACTGAGGGCATGCAAAGTTAGATGCTATTTAAGGGCCTTGGACAAAACCATAATCTCTGCCCTGAAGATCCTAAGCAGCAAGTGATGTACAAGATATTGCAGGACATAAGCAGGACGTAAAAATTATGCACAGCCTATTAACAACTCCACTGCCAAGCCCCATATTACCATCCTGGAAACCTACAGTCATTACAAAAAACCCTTCACAAATCAGTCTCCAAAGGACAGCATCTCTCCTGATTCCTACCTCTTCTTGCTTTAGTCACGCAAGCCAAGAGGGCAAACAGAACACCTCTATCTATAAAAGCTTTGACCGCATATTTTGTTTGCATTGCAAACTCAAACACAAGTGGTACACTCGAGCATTTCATCACTCCACTCTTCTGGGAAGCCCCAAGCTGTTCTCCAGCCCAGACACCTGGAGAAGTGGTGCTGTACACCAGCCACGCGCATACAGAGTGTCAAAACTGACAAACCCTGACTTTTCAAATAGAAATCCAATTCATTTGAAGTGGCAGGAGCCTGGGAGCGCAGGCTGCCCTTCGGAAATAACATAACTCATGTTATACATCCATCATCCCACTAACAAAGTTGAAACTCAAGCACTTAAATCCCTAGCTGAAACTTCACAGCAAAGCTCACAGGAGGCAACTGATAAGGCTGGGAAGGGAACCGGGTGAGTTTGGGCAAGCACCACAAGTTAGGAGGTACATGAAGAGTTCTCATCTCGGGGCTACCGCCAGGATTCCTGGCTCAACCTGTTCAAGATACAAACATCTCTCCCATAACCACATATCCAAACTGATCAGTTAAATGCATGAACTCTGCTGCACAACCAGAGACAGCGGAGGCATCAAAGCCTTTTCAAACAGCATTGCTTTAGTAAGGTACGAGTGCACTTCAGAGATGGAGAGGGACCAGCAATCAACCCTTCTCCCTGAAGAAAAATCCTACCAGGAACACCAACAGCCAGGGTAGATGCAAAAGCTTTGAGTTTATTGTCCAGTTCTGAAGAGCATTTACCAACCTCCTGCAGCAGCATCTAATCCAGTATCTCCCAATCTCCTGGCAGAGTTCAGGAGGGACACAAGTGGTTTTAGTACAAAAGGGCAACCCAAAATCATGCCTGCCCACCAACATCATCACCAGAAGGCACTGCTGGAAGGTTTTAAGAGCAGTAGAATCCACTAAAAACAACCAAGAGTTTAAAAGTTATAAGCAAGGCAAAACACAGCTGAAAAAGCTCCATAAGCCACGAGGTGAAGCTCCCACCCTGGTTCCTCATGCTGAACCCCAGCACAAGCAGATGCTATAGGAGCCCATAGATTCAGGCTGCCCTCCATAAAAGCAGTCAGGAGAAGCACTAAGAAATCCAACATGGGTTGTTTTTTTTTTTTAAAAAAAAAAGCACCATTCCTAAGTGCAGTTGAATTGCATGAGGCACAACCTACAAGCCTAAAATCATTCCCTCTTCTCCATACGAATGTCATGAGCAGATGCATAGAAGCCGACAACAGAAAGGAAAGCACAAAAACACAGCGCCCATCCTCCCCCACCACACACGCAGACACCTGAGTAGTAACAGGAGATGCAGGAAGAGACTGAAGCACAGCAAGCAAGATGCTGCTCGAGAGAAACCACACTGATACCATCTGTCCAGAGATCCTTGCTTGGCCAAGATCATGGACTGAATACTTACTTCTGCTTCCAGAAATTAATTTAATGGAGAGAAACAGAAAGTCTATACCTTACAATCACTGTTCCCATGACATCTACAGTTTTGAGGTGGAGAAAGCAGGCTATGAATGATTCAAACCTCTGCTGGTTAGCATTACATGCAGAAATGAAAACAGGAAGCAAGACAACATACATTAATTATTCAAATTCAGCAACACGCACCAGAAGGAAGGGGGAAAAAAATAAAATGGAAAACACAAACCCACACAAGCTATCAACCTTGACTTTAAAGATGCATCATCTGCCAATGGCTACAAACTTCTTAAAGCTGAATAACCGAGTTTGCCAGCTAGCTTACCCCAAAAAGGGGGAGTGGGATAGAGTCCATCTGCAATACAGCAGGAGCATTTTTTGAAGGCTTCAGGATGCCTAATTAGCACACATTGCATTCCCAAGATACTGGACTGTAGGTATCCGTTACAGCCTGTGATACATTATTCCTTTCCAAACAGCTTTGTAGCTGAAAAAAAAAAAAAGTATTCAAGTTGCCATTTTAAAAAGGAAGCTCTCTGGGGAGATCTGGCCTAAAAATTTGGAATTTTGTCTGAGTTAACTCCTCCATCCCTGTAGCCTTAATGCAATACTCAGAAACCTGGAGCAGAGAGGGAACAGAGCAATCAGGACCAATTGTTAAACCATCCCAATGCTATCATTTTAGCAAAGGGAAGAGCAACAGCACAAGTCCCGAAGTGCACTGAATAAATAATATGAATGAAGCCATGGAACAGCAGGTGCAATGGCATCTAACCCTTTCACAAGGCTTGGTACAGTCCAAGCCCTCCCTTCTAATCCTCCTTCAAATTTTTCTCTTCTGTCAACCCAGTTTCACACAGGTCACACTGATCTCATTCTGCATCTTAGGACAAATCTTTTAATAGCCCAGAGACAAGCAGCTTACCGCACATCCAACAACAGTACCAACAGCACTACTCTTAATACCTGTGGTGTTTGGGGGAGCTGGGGGAAAGATGAGAGCTATGGGCTCTTGCCTGCATTACCTTGACCTGCTACCTCCAACCTTCTCCCAGATACTGAAGGCTGGTTCAGTACGATAAGCACATGACTTCTTGCTTGAGCCTGCTGAGGG